CCCCTCCCCCGCCATCTCCAATGCCACAAACCCACCCCGTGCTGTACAACATTCTCCGCCTGCCTCCACATCACAACGCTTCACTCTTTCTTTGTGGGTGGGGAGGTTGGAAGGGTGCTTCATTTATTCTTGTGCTCGGGTCTCCTCTCATATACAGACATACAGTATGTACATACATATACAAATATATACACACACACACACAAACACACACACACACGCCTCTGGAACCAACTCACCCTCTTCTCATCCCAAAAGTCACAGCTTCCAGTATTGTCTCCAGAGGGCGTCGAACGCCGTTGCTTCCGGACGTCTCCTGCATAATTACAAGGGCCCTCTTTTCTCTTCGTTGTATTGTGTGTCAGTGTGCTCCAATGGTTGAATTATTTTTCCCGCCACACGTTTGCCATGTTTTCGGCGTATGTTATGACACCGCTGCCCTTCTTATTGTCTTGTGGTTATCTTTGAAACGCCATTTACATTTGAACGGTCATCAATGTTTGGAGTGTGGACATCTATCTACCGGGTCCAGCTGCATATTGCATTTCCTGGCCTTTCGAATGACCTCTGTCCTCGGCCCATCCCTGGGAAAAGATTGAATCAGGCACAAGAAAGAAGGTTCTGTTAGAAGGTACAGAGAAAAAAGGCCCCTGCTCTCCCGACAAGGGCCCTCGGGGAGGGAGAGGGGGCGGGTGGGCGTGTAAGGATAATAGCAAGCATTCACTGTAACCTCTCGGCATCAGGTTTCTTTTCTCTGTCCCCCTCATACTCCCGATCTGGCAACCCGGCCGAGTGGGTAACCAGGCAACTGGGCCGGTTTTATCAGCCTTTCTCCTTTAGCGGTCCCGTTTTAAAAAAAAAAGCAACTGATCTGGACATTTCCTGCCACTCCAGCTGATAAAATATTAACACACTGTCTTTGCGCGGAGCTGCCTCCTCATCTTCATCTCGTGCACCTCGCCGGACATTCCACTTCGTTATTCTTGGCTGCGGTTTGCGTTGTGAAAATCGTGCGGGGATTTCAATCACTTAGCCACCCGATGAACAAAGGTCATCGGATTCGCTTCATATCATTGCACCTCCCAAGGACCACTTTGAAGCTGTGGTGCAGTTTGTCGTTTCTGCTCGTGTAGGCAAAATATAACCGCACCGTGTTTTCTTCAATTTCCTGTCTGCTGCCACTAAAAGGGCATCAAGACAAACAAGAGAACATGGAATGTCTAAAAGCAACGTTTCTGGCAGCAAAATGCCACGGCAAAGTGATTTGATCCAAGAACTTGTTAGATCGTTTGGATGATGATCAAGCAAAACCTTCGGAAAATGTCTGGCTCGGCTTTTGAGCTCAACTCGATTTGAGTTTTTGTTGTCATGAACAAACTGGTCCAAATAAATGGACTGATCGTTGGACTGGGCAGGAAATTGAAGAGGGTGGTCTCGAGTTTTTTTTTTTTTTTCCTGGGCAGCCAACCAAACTCATTGCAGCTCTGCTTACCTTTTGACTTTGGCATGATAGCAAGGGAGTCGCACTGCTACTTTTGCAGGATCGTGGCTCACACGGCCTAGTCCGGCTCTGAATCTTTGTCCACCTAAGCCGGTCATGCCACCGTCATGTAACGGTGGACTGCACGCTCGCAGAAACGGCGAGATAAAGCGGTTGCTTGGCTGTAGAACTTCACATTTGATGGGCGGACAGACATACCCGGCGATCCACTCACCCGCATTTCTTAAAAATAAATAAATAAATCATAAGAATAGGAATAATTAGTCCCTCTTAAGTTTCCCAGGCTGGGCTTCCGATAGTTTCATCTGTGAGGCCGCTGAGGCAGTCGCTCACTCATCAAGTCCAAGAAGACACCAAACAAGAGACTCCACGGGAGCTCTCGAGTTTCATTCACCCCACCAGCGTTGAGGTCGGCTTAGTCGGTCCAAACATTTGCCCAGCAAGCGGTCGTGCCGTGCTGGGAAACTCAGATGCCAGCTACTGAGAAACGGATTAAAAAACAAAACAAAAAAAAAACAAACAAAAAGAAAGACAATAAGTCGTTTTTGGACTGCTCCATTATCGTCATCCAGCGTACCACCAGCTGAGGCTGTGTTTGGATCTATTATAGATCAATTCAATCAATGTTTTCCCAGCCCTTTGTTTACATGCTGGGTGGTGGGGAATGGAAGCGGCATTAGCCAAGCGGCGCTCGTGAAACTACGACAGAAAGCCATTTTCGACGATAATTTGCTTTGGTGATTTGAATGGATTTGCTCAAAGGCAATTACGAAACTCAGGCGCTCGCCTAATAAACGAGCAGAAATGTTAAGGGACTCAAATGGAGGGGTTTCTATCGATAAGCCGATCGGTTAGCGAGTGGGGTTGTTTCCTTTACGCCGCATCGTACTTATTAGAGTTGCACGGCTATCATGGCGAAATCACAAATGTATGTTTGAATAATAAGCGTGGTCATGGAACAAACGAAATGCCAAAGTCAAAACAGTCAAAGCCGAAATGGCACCATCATAGGAGAACATTGCCTTTTGGTTTGGTTGAGAAAAATGGTGGCTCTTCGTTGCGGAGCTCGACTTTGACTCCCGTGGCGTAACGGAGGATTTTTTTCTTTTTTTGAGGGTGGGGGGGTTGACGTAAAACAAAGCTTTGTCTTTCCCTCCAGCCTTTCTCTGCCTGTGATAAATGCACAAGTGAGCTTGAGATTCCTCTCGGAAAAAAAAAATAAAATAAAGAAAAAAAACTCCACTCGTGATTGAAGGAGCCGCTGCGGCTCTTGACATATGTCACGATAAGAAAGATACGCCGAGAGAAGCGCGGCGAGAGAGGAGGTCGGAAACAGAGAATGACTTTGGAGGGCGGCCGCCTTGATTGCCCGGCACGCCGCTGATTGCGAACGTCGGCGTCGAGGATGCCACCTCTCCGCCGCCGCGTCTTTCAATTTGCCTTCATCAAACGTGCAATTTGATTTCACGCGGCGGATTCGTCGGCGCCGACGCGCTGCCGGTTTTTGCCGGAACCGTCATACCGCACACGTGTTAGTCCGCGGCGAGTGTTGGCGGGAGTTTGTACAGCAAATTGACTTTTACAAGGCTCCCAGGGTCTATGGTGTGCTACGCTAGCACCGCTGTTTCCTTTGTGCCGTATCGACTGCGGGAGTTCAGGCCGGCTGGATGGGAACATCACTTAAGCTGCGCCGCGGTCAGACTCAGAGGAATACTTGGCTGTCGACCCGTCGCGTCGCAACACAGATCAGACGCGAGGCTTGTTTGTGTGACTAATGGGCACGGCGGCGGTTTCGTGTGTACCTCATCAAAATTGCAAACGTGTCTGGCAAAGTCAGGCGTTAATGTTGTGTGGTTAGTTGTGTCGTTTTGTGCAAAAAAAAAAAAAAAAACCAAAATGCCTCAGGCGATCTGCTGTCTTCATTCAAAAAAGGTTGGCTCTCGTGGGTCTTGTCGGATTCTGTTTACCAAAGGCTGGCACAAAGTCATATGTGCAAGTCAGGAGTGACTTGCAAGTCTTAACCTTCAAATTTCAAGGGAGTCCCGAGTTACCGTGGCAAAAAAAAAAAAAAAAAAAAATTAAAAAAAATCACCCAAGTCGAGCTCCCACGAAACTTCGAGCATTTCACTTCAGTTCACTCGTACAGAACCGTCCAGTTGCAATCGATTCAGTGGCCCGAGAATGTCTTTTCAGCTCAACGCAATGACATGAAGCTTCGTTCCTGTCTGACCAGCTATCGGGAAGATAAACTCATGCGAGTTTTGTCGCTTTTCAAGTCACGAATGAAGTTAAAAGACGTTCTAAACTCCAGTCCAAAATTTGGGCCACTCAAGTTTGAATCAAGTCAAGTCATGTGACTCGGGTCCCCTCGCTTCATTCTTGTTTGTTTGCTTCTGTGGCCCGTGATCGATCACACGACTCACCCACAAGATGCCAAGGCGACAACCAGAAGAGTCCGAGGCGCCCCTTGTCGATG